GAAATTTCGAGCACTAAGTTGAGTGACTGAAACGAGGTGTTGCTCATCGTTTCAAGGACTTTCGTTACCGATCGTCCAGTGTTCAAATGAGGCCAACTTCTTTCTCTCTTTTGGTTGGACCGTGAGACGGAGAGGGGGAAGCAAAAGATGAAGGAAGAACGGAAGAGGAGCAAGTCTTCCACATGATCGATGGCACATTCTCTGGCTGCACTTGACTAAGGTGTGACAGGAGTTCTCCGCTCGTGTGTGTGTATATATATATATATTTAAATTATACAGTTTGTGTTGAAACCAAGTCAACCTTTGAATGGATCCAGGAAAGATAATATTATGATCACTCATATGACGGTTCATATCTTTAAGTCCTAGATTTTTGTGCAGTGGAAAGTGAGTTATAGTTTCAGTTCATTTAAATCTAGGTCTGAATTCAACTTGTGGATGTGTTCGCTAGAGGATTCTGATATCAAAATCGTTGCCAGTATTCCACTGGAGAAGAGAGAGTAACTTTACATATCTGAAAGCAATATGTATAGCTTACTTTTCAACTTTGAAACTAGACTCTGGAAATTCAAACTCTTAACAACAAGGATGCCTTTACCAGCAAGGTGATCCTAGCAACGTCCTTTCCCTACAACAAATGAGTAATTTCTCTTTAAAGCTGTCAAATAATTATATTGTGATTTGACTCAGATCAATTTAGAACATATTTTATCTGATTTTTGTGATGAAATCGAGCATTTTACTTTTGCTCATATTAAGAATCATCCTCGTTCTTTGTACTTTGGCACCTTCGTGTTTTTTCTCTCTCTTGTATTTCATGTCTCTCATTTTCTTATATCTTCATAGTCTTATATTCTCTCATAGTATGTTATATCTTCATGGATGACGACTTTGTTACGACAGGTCATTACACTAACATCAAATTTAAATGCATAAGAGCCGTCAATATGGTCATGACTCGTGAGCACGAAGTTCATATGCTCTCGTGTGTGTGTATATATATATATATATATATATATATCTTCTCCAGCTATTGCAGACACCTACACGTAGTCGATGTACCACACACAAATTCCATAAACACACACACGCGCACACACTCTCTCTCATGATTACACGTAGAACTATTAGAAAGAAGAGGTCTAGGAAAAGACACCATCATGGAAAAATCAAGAGGGAACATAAGATACCACCTCAAACTAGGGGTACATGAAACGAGCAGCGAATTATTGTGAGATAAATCCACTTGGAAAGGAGATTCAAAATCCACGTCCATCGATCAAGGAAGGGGAAGGAAGCAATCAATAGCACAGGAAGCACCCACTTGGGCGTCCCTTGGCCAACGAGCCCAGTTGACGGCACTCGAGAAGAAGCACATCACGCGCATGCTGTTGCTGCTGCTGTTGGGCTCCTCGAATCGAGCATAAAACAGGCTGATGAGATCTAGATCTGGATAAGCAGAGCTCCGTCCCCAACGACCATCACCTTGCTCTCTTTCGACTGATGGCCTGCCTGCCTGCCTGGACTTCCCATGAACTAAACCAACTGGTTTCAAGCATCACCTTACCTCCACAGAAAACGCCTCCGATCTAGATCCACAATCCTCATAACAAACTTACAAGACTCCAATGTTCGTTGGCTCCTCATGTGCTTTGCTTGCTCTTCCCCATGCCTCCTTCCCCTAATATCAGGAGTATCCACCTCCCACTATCCCGACACTCCTTCCTACCAGAACCACACAAGGTTGCATTCATTGCCAAATCATTTCGCTTTCACTTATTTTTCGTATGTATATTTCACTGATGTAGATTCTTATTTTTATTCCACTGATAATCCTCACTAGATCCTCACGGTCTCGTCTCCAAATCCTCAGCCATCAGATTAGCTTTCTTTCTTTGAGCACCAGGTTTCGTTGGGGATCATGACCTTCGTTTATCTCGTCACCGTTGGTGCAAACAGAAGTAGATTTTTTGTTAAGAAGGAAGAGCAAGATGATGAAGAGGTTTCAATTTTCGAATCGCTTGTCGGAAGCTGGGGACTGATTTTGGAGATTCGCGATCGTGGGATCGAAGGAGGGATGAAGAAACGAGAAGGTGCGCTGCTGCTACATTCAGAGAGAGCTCGACCTCATATAATGAAGAAGAAAGAAAGTCCTCGGAAGCTCACAAGTGCACGGAAAAGGGCATGCGTGCTGTACCTGGTGTCGGGAATGGGCGATCGATCGTACGAGCGCGAACGGAAAGGGCATTCCGTAATCCTTCCAATGTTCTCCTTAGCAGAGAAAGGCCTGGATTCCTTGACCTGCGGCCAGCAGAAGTACGATCTGTCTGCTGCTGCTACAACTCCTTGCAGACGTGTTCAGGAGCCTGTTCCAGCAGAGCCAAGTTCAGGTAAGGGAAGGTAAGGTTCCAGATTTTCTACCGCACTCCTCACTCCTCTATCTTTCTCTCTCTCTCTCTGGGGGAATGTTGGGACATTCCTCCAGCGAGAGGACGATGGAATTTATTCCTATTCCAATTCCTCCCCGCCCATCATTGCAACCAACCAACCATAGCCCATAATGAAGGGGTACATGAGACTTGAAATGCTCGCGAACCTCCCACCAACTACATGCGCCATATCCCCGAACTAAGGGAACTTCCATGTCCAGCCTAGCGATGCAACTAATCCCACATCCGCTACTCACTCTCACTCCGCTCTATTGTATTGTAGTGCGTTAATTCGACCCCAACTACTCTCCCTGCAGGCGATTTCCCCATGATTTCCAGCTTCAAGCCACTGTGTCCCTCCCTTACTCTGAAGGAGAAGGAAGGAAGGAAGGACGGGCGTGTGATACGGTACTGCCATAGCCAACTGGAACTGGCAACTGTGTACAACTGGACATTCGGAGAGGATGGTTACTTCTCTTGCCTTCTGAACGGTTGAGTCGAAATGTGGCACGGACTTTCATTTGGGATTTCTCGACGACAATTCAGTATTCGATCCGAGTGAAATTTACAGTGCTCTAAGTTTCTGATAGAGTTGTGGGTGGAGTTCGAGTGGAACGCTACTCGAGGATTATTTCTCTGCTGGTTACGCTTCCGAGAGGGAGAGGGAGAGAGAGAGAGAGAATGGGAGGCTCACTGACATTTGTGGTGGGATTGCCTTGAACGACGACAGAGCCTCGGGCTCCTCACCGAAGTGCTCATCACCAGCAGTGCAAAATTGGAGGGGCTACGGTAGCAACGAAATGTTAGCTGGTGTGGAAAGCAGTTTGGATTCGTCAGGCGTTCACTTGCTCTTCAAGTCTTCGATCTCACTCGACCTTGCATCCCCATCTGCCTACTCCAACTGTTCTCACGTCGGAGGGAATTTCAACGCGATAGCAGTGCTGATGCACACGTTGCCTGAGGTTGTTTGGTCCAGGTGAAAGTATTACTTCCACCTACCAGCAGTTTCAACCCATAACGTGTTCACACGTTTCCTACGACGCCATTGCATCGAACCTGAATGAATTACTTCGTTCCTTTACCGTCAGTACACACTAATCGCCATGGAGGCAGAGGGCTGTCTACACTGTCCGTGCATCAGTGGACGGAGATGAAGAGCACAGCCGCCACTTCACGACTGACCCGGGGCTGTAACCAGGATTGCAGAGTTATGAGACAGTCGTATTGCTCGCGCTCCCGTGAAGGTTGAGTTTCGTTTGCTTTACATATCCATATCTGGACTCCTCAGAAGCGACGAGCGTATGCCAAGATCGTTCTGAATTAGCACGTAAAATCACAAATGTGGACTGTCACGACATGTCGCTTAGGATCGAGACGAGTTCCAGAAGAGAGAAAGCAAAGTATCACGTATCTCTGGTCAGGTGATGTCCACAACTTAACAGTGCCTCTCTCTTGTCACTGTCGAAACGCTGTCAGTCCAGATGATCCATCCTGAAATTTCAACCGCCTTCTGAGGACACTTTCGCTCTTCTGCACCGGCGATGTAACACGAGTAGAGGCTAAAATGATACACATAACAAATAATCATCGATGGACGACTCAATTTCACCTGCAAAACAGTGTTCTATACCATCTAAGAACCGGCACTGAACACAAACGCTCTGCAATCGGTACATGGCTGAAAAAAAGCCCCAGCCGACGGGTGGTGAGGAAAATGAGCGGGACGGACACGGACCAGACGGTAATGCCGCATGGTGTCCATCTGTGTCAGTCAGCAAGGTAGCCACGGAGGAAATATGTAATGCACGTCGTGGATATTTGGATTCTCGCTTCTCAGTCCAGTTCATCCCGTACCGACATCACAGAAGGTTAGAATTGGTAAAAACATTTCTTGGACGGTAAAACCAGAAGGCAACGAGCACAAACAGAGCAGGCAGTGCGCAATAGAGCGCCAGGTATGAGTGGGATGTACGAGGTAAACGAACGAGAAATCACGAGAAATGCTACACAAGCAAATGATCAAGTTCCGTTTAATGTCCAGGGCCTTATACCGAAACAGCTGGAACTACAAGCAGGGAAACAATGTTTGCGAAGACAGCATGAGCTTAAAGGAATAACTCATTTGTGTATCGCTTCCCGTCTGTGCACTTGTATTGCGCTTGTCATGCTAAAACGTAGCAGAAAAGTACACCAGGTTCACCTCCACACAAGCGGGACTTCCTTTTGCCCGTGCCGCATGGCACTCGAGTCTTCTTGACGATCTTACACAAGCTGAAATGGTTCTTACCGGTCACATGCGTCTAAAGCGAACCCAAAGAACTGACTTCAGAGGAAAACGATCTGCTCAGAATTATTCACGTAATCTGAATCACTCTAGCAGTCACATGAGTTCCTGCTGTTATTTTACTCAAGGAAAAGAGTACACAACAGGTGATGTTGCATATCCTACACTTCGAACGACCATTCTGTCCATAGCCGCTACACACCTGCACTCACTTGTATTGCAAGTATCAATTTGGTGTGGGATTCTACCACAGGAAGCAATCTCTTGCTCGAATATACAGCTACAAGCGGGGTTCCAAACTGTATCTTGTGGCAATGACTTGTTTTTCCCTGAGTTAAAGTCATTTTAGTATATTCGTTTATCAACGAACTAATGGAGAAGCCATTTACTCCCATGATACTTCTGTAGTCATTCACAAGTTGCAAACCATCAATACTATCAAGGCACTGAAGGAAGCAAGAGCCACATGTGTCACATACCAGAGTATGCCTAGATTTCGTGACAAATTCATTAATCTCCCCATAAAGTAATTTTCTAGCAGTTTCATGCATAATAAGATATCACGTTCTCAATACTACACATTTTGCCAAAAGAAACAGCATGTAATACTCATAAGCAATCCGAATCAAGAAGACATGAATGCCTATCTCATCGTCTACACGCCGCTGAGCATCAGCAAAATTTAATCTCCAAAAACTAGGACCCAGAAACATCTGACCCAAACAACCTCAGACTCTTTGAAGTTAACTATTGAGCAACCTGGAAGAATACAATCTCTTAGTTTTTATCTTCATTCCAAACTCAATCTCTTTGCTATATAGAAAGTGTCGGTCATGTTCATACCAATTCGAAGCGTCTGCTAAGAACGCCGAGCTTGAGGAGGAATCCTCTTCTTGTATTCAATTGCATTGTTCGTATCCATGGGCCGCAGATCGTTTAATATCTTGTTAGCTTGAAGTCTGTAGCCGCAGTCTCCGGATTTCCTGTATTGATTCGTTTATCACAAGAAGGTCAGTCTTACTACCACTCACCCAAAAGCAGCTGAAGCTCGACAGAGAGAGAACGAAGACCACTTCCACATGACATGACATTCAGAGGACACCTTCGTAAAAATAGCTAGCAATGGCAGGACATGATGAGCTTTTACCCAAGGCATTGTCTGTCTTAAGGTTCCTTACCTTCATGGAGAACTGCACCGTGCTTTACTAAACCTGAACTCAGACAGACGTCAAATGTTTCAAATCGCAAGCTACAGACAAGTAAATAATACCTTCTCGAGACGTGCTCTCGGCAATGCTTGCACTCGAAATACGCTCTCAAGCACATTACTAGGGAATATGCCCAAATCTTCGATCACGTATATCAATATCTCCGGATGTATACGCTTGAGATCAACCATCGACAGAAACATTGTGGTGAGTTTTTCCGTTAAGGCCACCTTTACACTTTCCCAGGCTTTAGAAAATGCGGCCGATGGAGGCACCAGCACATCAGACAATCCAGGGTCCGCATCAGTGTTTACCAACGATCGGGCACACTTCGCCGTTGGCAAAGTGAGATCCTCAAGCTGTCCATGCTCCAGAGCTTGAGTAGCGCACCACAGAACAACCTGCCTTAATCGCTGGTACTCGTCTATCGAAAGTGTCCGATTGTCATTCTCTTTCAAGTTTTGAGAGTTCTGCAAGAAAAACTGGAATCCCCTCGCAGAGAAGCTTCCAAGATTATCCGAAACACTACCAGGTCCTTCTGTGTCATTTCCCAATTGCAGTATTTTCATCTGCGAGTTGCAAATGAATCTCAAGTCAGAGGAATCTTTATCGTCATCACCGACCGATGCCATGACCTCCGCGGCATATGACAATCGCAGAGCTGCCTTTACAACTTGATTTGGGCGAGGTTTGCGCTTGAATTTGGCATCTAGTTTGACTATACGAACGAGATGCTGGATCATAAGATCCTCCACAGTCTGCAATAGGAAAAACCTTGCCCCTCGTATGGTCTGCAACATCGTCTTCCAACATGCCTCAGGAGTTCGAGATAAATACACTTTTGCCCGCCTTTCGAAGGACTCTAGCATGATCCATCCAGTGTATATGTACTCCAAAATAAGGAGCAACACAGGTGAGGTGATTTCATGCAAGACGACCTCTGATTGCTGGGATTCTGCCATGCCATTTGTGAGCATGTTTTTAGCACGCTCGACCTTGACCTTGATCTTGGGCACCTTGAGAAGTCGACAAGTATAAACTTTCACCCCATCCTGACACATGAACGTCATGTCGCTCGAGTCAGGATTGTTGAGCATCTGCAGCATGTCATAATAGCATCCGAGTTTCGTGGACTCTCGAAGCACATCACCGTCTTCGTCAAATCTTGCAGACCTTTCCACCCTATAGTTACGTGCAATAGGAGGTAGGAAGTCATCCATCAGTCGATCCGAATTCATTTACGTGATGACGAGTTAACCAGCTGTAAACACCTACAATGGTTGTTCTCCTCTGCCACGCACAACTCCCTGCCTGCAACGTGGAGGGAGCTGATACAGACAAAAGTACGGGAAGCGCAGCTTGAGATTTCGACAGATCTCGATCAGAAGATTAATACCCCGCATCTACATCTGGTCCCAAGATCCGCATCCTTCCCAGCGAATCGCACTCGAAACGTCACCTAGAACACAACAGGGGCACCATGGATTTGTTTGAACCAACGACGTGCTTCTCATCAGTTTGATAAAGAAAAAGGATCTGAATTTCCTGAATACACCTTCTGCCCAGATTAGGTCCACCATGGAAGACCATCTCACAGAAATTGATAACAGAAGCTAATAATCACGAAACAAAACTACCGATCGTCTGTCAGGTGTTGCAGGAAAAGTATGAAGAGGACAAACCTCGATTGCTTTGCGGCAGTCAGTCAGTCAGTGTACTCCAAACTCATTAAACCTGCTTTGTCGATAAACAATAAATTCAATGAGCCCCATGGATGCGTAATTCCGAGCTCTAGGAATCCCAAGGCATGAAGGCTGAGAATGGACATGTTGCTCTCTATTGACCTACAACAGCAACCTGTGATGTCAAGTCGGGATCTCTTAAACCCCATGGTATGCCACTTGCAATCGACTCGTTGAGTGTCAAACGCTGGAACGCAAAACTTGTCCTACTGAAGCCAGAACCTGAGATGAAAGTCTGATAGCACTGAGAACATCGAGCGTACTTGAAAGGGCTGCCAAATTGAAGGATGCTACTGAGCGTGTGAAATGCTCTGACTGAGCTGAAGATTTGGAAGAAAGTTCGTAAGATAGAAACATATCATAACTCAGAGAACCATGTCCGAATCACGAAAATTGTCCATGAAATTTGATCAAAGCGATTCCGGCAGCCGCTGCCCAATCCTGAACAGACGAGCAAACGAGACCGGTCCCGAACGAAAGATGTGGAAGAAAGCCACTTCCGAATGTGCCGTACTCTCGTCAAAATGCAGCTACGGGCAAAGGGCTGAAGCATTTGTTCGGATCGGATGCTTGATTCTTCTCGAGCACGAGGGAATCATGTCAGCGACCGAGCACACTGCCCACAGAGCTTGAGCCACTGACAGACAGGGGTCCACGCACCGCCCACCCCATCGACGAGGACGCGGAATGACCGAAGACTTCGAGTGCCCAAACGCGATGCCAGAACGATCGGCGAGCTAAGAATCGAAAGGCGAACATTCCGAGCACGCACAAACCAGGAATCGGAAGAATACGGAGAATACGGACCGTTGGCCCCCGCGACAGAGTAGAGGGGGCTCTGCGTTGGACGACGACGTCGAGCATATCCGATCACGAGGAAGGAGAGAGGGAGACGAAGATTTCGGAGCTGCGAGGGGAAGACGAGGGACTTGGCAATTGTCAGGAAAACCGAGCTTCGGTGGCCAATTGGAGACTTGAGGTGTAACTTTCCTCGAGGAAATGAGCAAATGGTTGACAGCTGATGTTGCACATCGTAAACCTCCGTCCGACGACAATTCGGTAAATCCATCGCCGCTGCGCTACTGCACTTGCGTTGCCAGTGTGTCAGTTCTTGAGACTTGAGGTGTAGCTTTCCTCGAGGAAAAGAGCGAATGACTGACAGGCGATGTTGCACAATTCTTCACCTCCTTCCGACGACGACGACAATTCGGTAACTCCATGGCCACTGCGCTACTGCACTAACTTGCATTGTCAGTGTGACAACTCGGTGTGAAAAGAACACGGCAAGGTCCATCCTTTGTTATTTCGGTGGCCAATTCCAGCCTTACCATTGGAGGTGTAACTTTCCTCGAGGAAAAGAGCGAATGACTGACAGCTGATGTTGCACAATCCTTCACTCCCTTCCGACGACGACAATTCGGTGAATCCAAGGCCGCTGCGCTACGGCAGTCGCTTGCGTTGCCAGTACCTCAGTCCATCATTCACCTGCGATCCGGGTTGATAAGAGTTTCGTGTGGTTTCTCGTGACCCTGAATTATTTCTCCTGATTCGGAGTTCATTTTGATAACTGCATTCACCGGCTTGTTTCAAGGAAACCATGAAGAAGCCGACTATTGCCATGATATATGGTACTCATTCACAGGTTGCAAATCGCCAGCGCTGTCAAGAAATTGAAGGAAGCAAGAGACACATGTGTCACGTTCCAGAGTATGTTGAATTTTCATGACAATTCCCGATCCATTTAAAGATGGGAAATTAAACTATTTATTTATTTAATTATTTAATATTATTATATATTTTATCAAAAATGCTTCAAATCTAACACTAGTTAAAATGATTATTAACTTATTTGAATTCACACAATGTATTATAATTTCATTAAAAGAAGAAATATATATGATAAACCTCAAATCCAAAGATAATAATCATTTGTTTTTCTAGGTTCATCACCATAAAATACCAATTGGAAAAAAAAGAAAAATATTTTTGTAATGTCAATTTTAGGATATTTTACCTGAAATTGCAGAAGAGATTTATTACCATAAAAATTTTAGATTTTTCTTGTTTTTATATTCTTTACATGAAAATACAATACAACTTTATGGAGTTCATAAACTTAGTGTCATGGAAAACTAAAAGTAATTCTACTAAAAAACACATCCTAAATAACTTAATCGATTAAAGTCAAGCAAAATTTGAGTTGATTTTGGTCATTCAATTTAGATTTTAATATTAATAATATTTTGGATAATTATTTTTGAAATAAAATGATAAAATTAAAAACATATGGAAATATTACATAAATTTTTTGAGGCAATCTAATCTTCTGATGGATCCATCAGAAGCCACACGCTTTGAGTCCGAGAGCTTATTAAGTCTGAATGCAAAGTGGGCGGCGACCTCGTCCAGGAGACAGCTTCTGATGTTTCCTGCAACCAGCACCAACAACAAGACTGCGGATTTTTATTAAGGCAACGTGAGGCGAGAATCTTCATCGAGGCGGAAACACATGGATGCTTACACACACACCTTTAAGGGGTGCAACAGAAGGGTGCTTCATCAAAAGCACAAATTAAGAAGTCTATTTTTGTCCAAGCTGTGATTTAGGCGAGAGGATGTCAAATCTATCACAATCGTCAAGAGTAAGATCAAATTCTGCACGTGGCAGATCTCGATCAGTTTAAAACATGGTACATGCATGGCCTCGCTACACGTGATTCCAGTTTCGTAATGACGCTTGTTGACGGCGGTGCGGACTGAGTACCGATTAGAACGATGGTAAGTTATCAGCTGGGAAATGCACGAACTCCGTCCAATCCGATTGTTCAGGGATGACTTTTGAAATCCTAGATAATGATATTCAAGTGGGCTTTTTCTCAATCATTCATGAGATTCTGCAAGCATAATCCACCATATTTCTTTATCTTTAATTCATTCAAATAGTTCATCAAGTAATCAAAATCTGGGAGAGATATAGAATGAAGACATCATCATCTAAACTTTTGTTGTGAGACGATATTTACGTCTCACAACAAACAGTAGCATTAGGCTTTAGTATGATAGACGCAGATGTCTCTTGTTAGTTCACGGTGTTAATCTGTTCATTTTAGGTCGAGTGCATCATTGCATTTAGCTGTAACATGCTCACTGCATGTTACCAACAGCAACTACTTTACGTTGCTTTCTTTTCAGCAAAGCATTCAGTGTGTATCTTACAAAATAGTATCACGATCTTTTTTCCATCCTCTGGTGGTTGATGATAAGTGTTATTAATCACAAATATACTTGTTACTCAACAAGGAGTTGCTCCTCAATATTCCACTAGTCAAAATGTACCTTCAAGCCACCATGAAAGAATCTCAATATAATTTCGCTTTCATGTTAAGCTTTGAGCAGAAGCTCACTTAATGACTCAACTACATGAATTGGTACATACGTTTGAAGACAATGCTGAGCTACAAAGTAGTCTATAAAGACATTATTCTCGATCTAGCTTTCCTTGATGGTGCTGACATTACTGCTGTTCGGGGCCGACAAATCAAGTACATTGCAATGATCCAGGCTAATGTATCACTTGATATACTTTCCCCTATTGTTGAATATGAGGATAATATCTCTGAATTGTGGATTTATCTGCGCACTCTCTATTAATCTAATAATGTTCAACGCCGCCTTATACCAGCTGAAAAACTAGATATTCTCAAACTTCATGTTCATGTTACAGTCAATGTCTATCTTCAACCATCCAAACGTTCAAAACGCAGCTTGTAGCTGTTGAGTATCGTCCCTCTAATAGTGATTTTATTCACTATACACTTAAGGATCTCCCCTTGTCTTCAACTTCATTTCTTCTTTCCACAATTAGTCACTAGGCTTTAACGATCTCGTGCAGCGTTTGTAGATTGACCAAATTTGGATTGATAGTCATCAAAAGTAAGATACTGTAGATGCAGTCACTCGATTATCCCGCAAGCCACGATTCTTGAATACATCTTTCCAACAGACCGTCACACAATATTTTTCAGAAGGAGAGGATATTTCAAACATTTGATATAGTAACCGTGGCAGATTTTATCACTAGTTACAAGATTGTGATCTCAAGAAGCTAGAAGAGCAAATTTTATAGCTCCAGGTTAGGGTTTTCAACATGCGACGCGTTAAGATGTAAGCTATCTCTATTCAAGAACAATACAATAGTGGAAATGACTCGGCTGATTGTGAATCAATAGACTTAGAAGCGAATATGATTAGGGAATTGCAAGATTAACTCTTAGGTGCCAGCAATCATGTGACTGGTGACATAATTATCTTTAATTCATTTCAATCTACAATTTTTCATTCTAGAAGTTCTACCGCCAATGGAGCTTGTCTAGCTTTTGTTGGCAAAGTTACACTACATGTTGACGCAAATAAAGAGATGAAGCCTATCCTTATCAAGAACTTGCTATACTTAGGTAAACTAACATATTCCGAGCATTTTGTGCTTTTCACTACTACTTTTTACTTTGAAATCTACAAAATCAATCTCAATAAGATTTATTTATATTTCTATATAAAGTCTTTGCGAAGAGTATATTATGTGCTAAATTATTGTGCAACCTGTGCATTAAATCTGACAATGCACCATGGTATTTTATACTGAACTCCACCTGGCTTAACACGACTCATGATAATTGGGTGCACAACATATATGCACATATCCTATGATAAGCAAACAAAGCTTTGGCCCTATGCAAAATGCCGTTTGCTAGTCGGCCACCATGACAAATTCAAAGCATATAAAGTTGGAACTATCACCTTGTGGCATTGTTCATACCAACAATGTTACATTCTTTGAGCACATCCCTGCAAGTTTTGTTGATGCACACGATTTCGTGGATCTCTTCAATGGCTTTGATTCCTTAAGATGACCTTCCCACCCGACATTACGATCAGAGTAGTTTGTTACTTCACATGGCAATTTTAGTATGTCCAAAGATCTCGGATGATGCATCACTACACACACATTAGGCACAAGTTGGTGCCTATACAAACGTCAGTTCACCCGGATGGTTACTATTCTTGCGTTCTGAACAATTGTGTTCAATTGTCGCACAAATTTCTCAGAAGAATTTCTCGACGACAAATTGGTTCTTCATTCGGGTGGAGTTTTCACTGCTCTAAGTTTCTAATCGATTTGTGGGTGGAGTTCAAATGGAAGGCTACTCAAAAATTAATCATCTGCTAGTAACGTTTTTGAGAGGAAGAGGGAAAGAGAGGAAACGGGAGGCTGATTAACATTTATGTGGGATTGACTTGAACGACGACAGAGCCTGGGCTTCTCATAGTAGTGCATAGTAGTGAGAGGTTGCGGTAGCAACAAAATGTCAGCTGGTGCTAAAACCAGTTTGGATTTGTCAAGCGTTCACTTGCTCTTCAAGTCTTCAATTCCAGGTGAAAGTATATTTCCAACGACCAGCAGTTTCAACCCATCACATATTCACACGTTTTCTACGACGTCATTGCATCGAATCTGAATGAAATAATTCATTCCTATACCCTTAGTTCACACTAATTGCCATGAAGGCAGAGGTTGTCTTCATTGTCCGTGAGCTGCTTCTTCATGATATCCATGCGTTCACATCCTACGTTGTTCTTTAGTGGACGGAGATGAAGAGCACAGCCGCCACTTCTTGACCAACACGGAGCTGTAACCAAGATTGCAGAGTTATGAGGCAGTCGTATTGCTCGCGCTCCCGTGTGAAGGTTGAGTTTGATTTGCATTACATATCCATATCTAGACTTCTCAAACGCGACGACGTATGCCACGATTGTTTTAGATTAGCATGTAAAATCACAATTGTAGACTAATCACGAATATGAATATGGAGGAGTTTGATCACTATATGATTAATGATCAAGAAGAATCACAAGTACTGATAGAGTTTCTGAACTGATGATTGATCTAGTTAATCTTGATGGTAAACTCTGGTGATTGAGCTAAACAAGAGGGAGATTAAGAGGGAGTTAAGGTGGAGATTGCTGAGGTTAACTTCATTTAAGTAGTAATCTCGGATCTTAGCTATTTATAGCTAGGACGGTCGCTTGGACGGGAATAAATACCTCTTGGTTTCGCATGTACATGAGTCTTCATGATAAGACCTAGAGTAAAAGTATTTGAGTGTTATTGGTAGACGTAGCCACCTTCGAGAGGTGAACCATGTTATTTCTATGTCTCTCTTGGGTTTTAAAAATACACGCTTAACTCATGTTGAAGAATTATTTTTTAAACGAATATTCCCCTATATTATTACTCTGTCCATAACATGATTGAGTAATAATATGCAGATGTAACTCCACAAAGTTACTTCAATTCGTGTTAAGGAATCACTCTAACCTATATTATCACTCCCATAACAGAATAGAATAATAATTTACAGAGATAACTCAACAATTTTTCTTTAATTCGTGTTAAGTAATCCCCAAAATTTCTCTAACTTATATTATTATATCCATAACATGATAGAATAATAACATATAGAGGTAACTCAACAATCTCCTTGTGTTTTCCATGCAAAACTTGCATAGTAGCATAGTGTTAACTCAATCTCTCCAAAGTATTAATTTTGGTAAACACATCAATTGCATTGACTTTAGCGTCAATTTTTAGTAACTCAATCAGTAGAGTTTACCATCAATCTTGATTAATTCAATCATGTGCTCAAGATTCCACCGCTACGGGTGTTTTTCTTGATCTTCAATTATATACTGATCAAACTCTCCCACAACCATATCCGTAAGTGAATATTTCTCCTTTGTCATTATAGAGAGACAAGAAACTCTCTTCCTCTTTCAATAACCAAGTTCTCATTGAAAAAAAACATGTATATTGACAAAAAATTGCACACGCTACTAGATTCCATAGCCTATAACATTGACTTTGCAAAGCATGAATGTCATCGTTCCAGATCCTCTGAACTATTGTGTTGTCATCTCAGCATGACAAAAAAACTAGATACAAAAGTTTCCGTGGTAACTTTCTCTTTCTCGTACATCTTTTAGCTCTTAAAATAATCCAAATGCTCTAATGGCGGCAAAAACTTTTTAACAATACTCAATTTAATTACATTTCAATGAAAAAATTTGTAAACATAATATTTATAGATAAAATCTTTTCTTAAACAAACAAAATCTTTTTGACCGCCAAACAGACCATGTTTCGCTTGCAACTAACTGTCACTTTCTCCCGCGACTCACCATTAGCCATATGTCACCACCGAAAACTACATATGTAAACAAGTGTCACCACGACATTTGTTTACCACTAGGGACCTAGTAACTATTCTTCTCTTCTTTAAGGTACTATGCTTCTGTATAATCCACTATGTTTTATAGCAGCCTACCTCTAGATATGCAGTAACTCGTGTATTCTTCCACAGTTGACTGTACCTAACCTCATCTTGATGGAGATATGTAGTAACTCGTGTATTCTTCCATAGTTGACTGTACCTAACCTCACCTTGATGGCGAGTCGCTTGATGGAGATAGGCTTTACTGCTGTGTTCGAATTAACAAGTAATCGAGGGTGTTGTCTTGGTTGAACAAAATTCCAAGCAACTGACCGGTCAATTGCAGTAAACACAGCAGTAAAGCCTATCTGCAAGCAATCCAAGTAAAGCCAGTACAAAATTGCTTGCAATATTCTGCAAGCAAGCAATATTCAGTACCGTGAACAAATCTTGGTTGAACAAAATTCCAAGCAATCCAAGTTGTACTGAATATTGCTTGCTTGATCTATTGTTGGCTTGTGCAGAATTCGATTGGCTTGAATGCCCCACGATCTGCCCACGCCCATGTGAACGAGTATGTCCTGCTTCGGCTATAAAGTTTCAAAACTCGAATCAGAAAGCTTCTTCTAACCACATGGTATGTAGGTTACTTTCATCAAGTCCCTGACTTAAGAGAGAGACGTCATTTTTATTTGTAGCTGCGAACTGAAATATAATAGAAAGAGAAAGGGATTGTCGTATGCTGCCATAACATTCCTCAAAATACATATATATATGGCCTAATTTGTAGTTTGTCCTAGAAGCCTTATGTTGGAATTTTCGGATCATGAATCTAGAGCAGAGCCACAGCAAGCCGGCCTAGTATCCAGAGGAAATCTACATTTGTAAACAGTGAAGTACATAGATTCTGGTTATTATGGATCACAGCAGTCTCTGTCAGCTGATTATTCTCGAGTCAAATTTGAAAGGTGATTTATTATGGAAAACCTCTTTGCAGGACGGTGGCGTAGTTGTTGATCGATGTTCTGGTTGTGGTCGATGCCTTCCAATATGCCCTTTGGGTCTCATTAGTAAGTGATATATTCTCTCTGGTGCACGTTTAGTCTGCTTAGATGGTGAGGACTTCGGCTGTTGAGGTGCTAGAAACGTCCATTGTTCGTGACGAAAGTTGGAGCAGTTTTATCGACATTTTTTAACTAGCATTGCTCGTCTTTTAGGTGCCACATCTTATGTGCGACCTTTAGAGACCGTGGCCAGTTTGTTGCGTAGTGAAGATGTGGATGCTGTTGAATTACATACAGGAGCGGGGTATGTTTCTTTCACCTGGTCTGACGAGTCACTTTAGTACATCCTCTTTTTAGAGAGATATGTTTCCAGTTAATAAATAGTTGGCACATACACCCAAATGCTCTTTCGGAATTTGATGGTATCGATTTGATCTTGAGAAGTTATCTACTCCAAAAATTGAATGTGTTGTAATGGAAAAGTGACAAAGATTGTTTGATGCTCACGATGGGTTTTTCTTTGTATCCTTCAGCGTCTGCCCTGTTTAGAGTTCAAGATTACAGAGAGTTAGACTTATCTTGAGGACTGTTATTATGGTAGGATCTCATGTATGACGTATTGTTAAATCTCATGTATATGCAGACATTTGAGCGCCTTTCGAGAGTAAGTTTCCCAGCTGGGAAATGCTTTTTCGTCTCTGAAACTTGTAGCTGTAAGCATTATCAACAAACCTTACTCCTTGTTGGCTCAACTCAAATCTTGGAAGTCAGTGGTGAATGACTATGTCCGGTAAAACATTATGAGGTATTATACTCACAGGCTCACTACTAGCTTCATGACAAATGAGTGCATTTTCAGTCTTTAATATTTTCTTCAAATTGTTACTACTAACAGGTCAGTGTACCTGATTTAGAGGAGTTAATGATTCCAACTCTAAACGCCATGTATACGTCTATGAAACCTTTCGTGAAGAATCTCAATCTCTGGCAGGTTTGTCCTCCGTCACTCAGTAGAGCAGGTAACGATGTTTTAATGTAAAATGCACGGCAGTTTCAACCCTTACACTTTGTGCCAAGAAGTGCCAAAAGAAGTATGCAGCCGCCTGCGATATCTGTAGGTGGAATATCTGCTCCACATGGGGGATAATTTGTTCTTTGTTGGTCTGGTTGAAAGTCGTTTTTTCGCTGTTTCCATCAAATACGGTTTTCTGCATTTCCGCAAAGTATTACTGAAGAAACGATTGAATCAAAATAATGTTCCTTGCTTTGCGCTTTCCATTTTTTGTCCAGTAGTTTGCATCATTCTCTTTCATGATAAGCCCTTGCAGTTAAATTATGTACTATCTCAATGTAGAACTTGCAGCAACACCAGTACAGAATTCACCTTAAAACTGCGTTAGCTCTTACAGTTGGATGGTCGGCCGATCAGTGGAGATATTGGAGTTGGTGCCACAAGAGCAGCCATAATGTTGGCTCAAAAGGTGGTTTCGTCTTCAGAGAGACCTCCAGGTATGTTACAACGTATAAATTCAACTCCAGGATGCACAGCGTTTGATGATTTAAATGACCATGGCGCGGTGGTACCTGCACTGTAATGGTGCCACTACTGAGGTTCCGGTCAATAGACGATTAGTTTGTGAACTACTTACGAACTTTGGCGAGTCATGCGGCGTAACTAGTAGTGGTTATACAGAGTGAATAATATTGAAGCAAAAGGTTATCGTGCTCATACTTGAAATGATGGGAATGCATTAGCTTTAGACCAAAAAGATCAATCATTTGCCCTTTGTAATGCAGGTCCTGCTAGTCTTTCCACTCTTGCGTGTCATTATACAAGTGACTCAAATTGACTCCTTTTGGAAAAGGTTTTATCCAACTTGCTGGAGGAACAAATGCGCATACTGCAACAGCTTTAAAGAACGTGGGCTTGCAACGCTGGATAACATACGAGAATCATGGTAAGCTCTTCCAAACTTGTGGCTAAATTTCCATAACATTGTTTTATTTCGGACTCCTTTTCGTCTAGAGATTGAATCATATCTATGTGCATGCTGTAGGGGTATCTCAGCAATACGAAGACAACCAAAGTAGGTCTGCAGTGATCGCAGGAGTTTATGCACGGAAGGTGCATAAACCGTGCATATCCTCCGTGCATACGGAGGATATGCACGGAAGGTAAGAACTAAGTTGACTGTTGGACCCATACGCTCTCCATTCTGGTTAAGAGTGCTAAATTCTTTGACTGATATTCCTCAATTTCGTGTACTCCTGTTCTTAAAAGGAATCGGCATCAAAAGTTTCAAATAGGTAAAATGCCAGATTAAGAGGAAGACATAACTTATAGAAATGCTTTAGCCTTCAAACACTGAAATTCGACTGTCGACACCTTCATGGGGAGCCTTAAAAAATTGGTGAAGAGAGTTATCAGAAACTTGAGGAAAGCTAATACAAGACGAAATCTGTTGACGGTAGAAGTGTGCACAGTAAGCAGGGACTTACAACGGTCAAGACCCTCCCTGGAACGAAAAAAGACTAGGACCAACTAGATATGGTGCGCTATGAAATGTTGATTTCTGATGGTTATGGCTATTATCATGTATGAGAGAGGCATGATTAATTTCATTTGCAGATGTCAATATTGTTAACGCAGTATTGCTTGCCTCCACGGAACACGACTTGGAACTGGACACCAGGAAAATGATTATTTGCAACGCGATAAGAGCAAATCCAATTGTATAATAATTTGAATTTTTAATATATAATTGCTATTAATTTTTCTTTTCCTTTTTCAAGAAAAAAAAATTCATCACAGTTAAATTATGTTTAAAAAATGTTGTGTTAAAAACAAAAACACAAATTTTTTTCAATTATGTAAGTTATTGCGCGTTGAGGACCGTCAGAAAATGTAAAGGTTTTATGGGACGATCTAGTTAGCATTCCGCGCGCACAAGTTTCTAGGATACGGAGCGCAGGGAATGTAATTCAAGGGTCTTGCAAATACAGGGAGTTGAAAAGGCTCGTAGCGAGGATGCTGTTTGTTATGTTCGCCGATCACCTATCTGTACAGAAATATAAAGGCATCCTTGTCAAGATAGCTGATCTTTGTATGAAACGTATCCTGTTCGAGAAAATGTTTGCGGTGCGTATACCTCGTTAACTGTTTGAAGCAGACTTTCGTTTCCTTCAGCGCACGATGAACTTCCGGACATCGAGTTCTGTGGGGGTTTAAGGGTAGACGTGGAGTCCTCCCTTAATCCTGACAAAAACGATTAGTCGTTCGTATTACTAAGACTATGTGTGTGTTTGCAATCTCTTCTTAGTCAGCGTACTTGTATCGACGCTGCGATTTTGCTTTCATTTACAGGATCGACCACAGCTTGTTGGTTATGCAGGAGCGATGTGACAATTGGAGAGACACTGCAGGGCCAGCATTGGGGTAAAGCGGTCATAAGAACCTATCTATTTATCGCCAAAATATATATACCGTGTACGACAGATACTACGTGAAAGGTAACAAGACGATCGTAACTCTGAAGTTTTCCGTTTCATTTCTTTTTCCGACCAAGTTTTGATGATCTACCAGGCTTGCTGACGTTAGCTGGTAGAGGCAAGATGGTGCCTTCTCGTATCTCTGCAGCGTTAGCACTCGACTCCTGCATTTTTTGAGTCTCAATGTGGACCCTTAAATCCCGAACCTTGAATTCAACACAGGGTGCAATTAGCTAAGATACATGTACACGGACGCAGAAAACAAGGAAATGACAAAAGAGCGTGGCAAGTTCAAGAAATTCGATTCGCAATGCTTCAGAGGAAGCAGTCTCGGTTTGAAGTTTAACCAAAAGTCCTGCTCTTACCTGATGTTCCAGATCAGAAATTTTCTTATCGCGTTCTTTGATCGCAGCTCTTTCCCTGGAATAAGAAAACAGAAGCTCGTCTCAAGTCCCCGAAGTAGATATTGTGCATCAACACTAGACTTTTGAATCGACTGTTAAATCTAATCAGGTAGAAACCACATTCACTTCAACTTCTCAGCTGTCCCAGAGAAGTAGAACTTAGTCTGAAAAGTGATCGAACTTTGTCGAGCCACGCGACAACTGATCATCGAGTTTTAATTTTACATATGAAATACACTCCCAGAACTGAACTACCAGAAGTCTTACCATTCTTCCTCTTCCTTGGACTTCTGCTGCCACCTTTTTTGATTATCGACATGAATCTGATTCATCTATTCAGACACAATTAAATAACTCTCAGAAGTAAATACAGTGGAATTCGTAACAAGCAATGTTATAAATAAACGAAGGACGTAGACGAATCTGATCAACTTCAGAACAGCTACAATCGACATATGCCTCTCGAATCAGACAAATGACAAACTGAGACAATCTATTCAGCCATAATTGAACGGCGATCAGGAGTAGAGACGATGGAGTTCGAAGGAAGCACTTTCAAAAATATATCAAAGAAAAAGACGACTGTTATGAACTCGAGAACAGCTACAACCAACATATGCCTCTCGAATTTAAAAATTGATAAACTGACACAATTTCTTCACCCACAAATGAACGTCGCTCAGAAGTAGATACGTTGGAGTTCGAAGCATCCAGTTTCATATACACCAAAAACAAAAACAAATCTGATCAACCAAAAATCAGCTGAAACCTACATATGCCTCCAAAATTTTACAGACGATAGATAGAGACAATTTGAAGCACCTGCTGCAAAAGCTCGTGTTCTTCCTGAACCTTCTTCATATCTTGCTGCATTCGTTGAAGTTTTAGGCTGATGGCCTTCTCCACGGCCAACGAAATAGAAGCATCTCTTCTTATTTCTGCGTCTTCTAACAATCCTTCATAATACTGCGACCATTTGTTATATAGTCCCACATTTCAGAACGGGAACTCAATATCCAGTATTTCAGCGTAGAAAAAGATCCTGATCAATGGCAAAAGTGAAGAAACGTAGGGAACAGATGTATATCTGTGTGTGTCTTTCATACGAATATATATGATAACCAATTACCTTCAAGCTGTATCACCAAGCAGCAAGATAAAGACGCACCTGTCTTTGACTCTCCAGTTGTGCAGTCAAAAGATGATCGTCCTCGGTTGCTATCTGCATCAATAAAAAGCATCACAAATGTCAGCCATTTGCGCTAACCTATATCATCGACATTTTCTCTGACAACTTCTACTTATTGTGTGGATTGCAACGATGCTACGCTCCTGACAAGAAGGGTCCATGACAGATACACAGAAGAAAAACTCTGAACAAAAATGGAGGATAATTAAAAAAAATTCAAGGAGAGATAAAATTTACAACTCCACTCACGGCTTTTAATTCGCTATCGTAAAGGGCCTCATCAACCTCAGCACTCCTGCTGTAAGCTTCACAACTGCTGCAATCTTCACAGCCATCCCGGCACGGTGCTGGAAGCTCAACAAGCTTCCCATCGGTCTTCGATTGGATCCGATGGACATAGTTGTCCCCAACATAATCCCAGACACATTGAGTCTCAAGCTCAAGTGAGTAGCAATGTTGAGTCTCCTTCCAGTGATTGATGGCATGGCCTTCTTGATAACTGTCAGTCGTTCACGAAAGAGTTCAGAAGGAAGTAAGAACATCGGTGTCGACTGTGTAAGCGAACGTGTAGGTTGTCATTGAGATTGGAGCATTGAAACAATCTAGAGCCATCCACGGAAAACGGAGGACGTTACTGCATCAAACCACGCGCTCTCGATACAAAACACGAAGATTTCTTTAGGTGTGGGGCCTTACCGTCCACAGCCAACAAAACCGCATATGACGCATATCCACAGATTCTCCGAAGTGTCACAAATTGAGCACGTGGATTTGTCAGACTGTTGTTGACAGTATCGGCAAACCTGAAACATAAAACAGCATGCACTTCGTACTCGTTCAAATGACTTAACTTCTTATAACTCGCACCAGTGCGAGGCGGAATTATGTATCTACCAATTACCAATTACCAAACATGCTACTTTGCAACTAAATAGCAACGCAGGTGACTCAACTATACTTGAGAAACTTCGACCAATTTGTTAACTGTTCATGCCTTAGCTTACAGTCAACCTGCCAGCAACAAACTGACATATAACACGGGATGTTTTAAACAAAAGAAACTCACATGACAAGACGAATCGGTCCACTTTGATATACAGGAACTGTGAAAAGAATGGTTGCAAACAGTCGTCAAAATTCCACTGATGTTTTGATCAAGTCTTTCTGCATTTTTCCACCAAAAATATTGTTACTAAAATCGATTTGCCGGCATCTCAACACGACCAAGTATTATTCTTATTGATTTTTAAAAAAAGTTTAAGCCCTTACCAAGACAGACAGGGCACGTGGGGAGTTCTGTCAGGCCAGAAGGAGGCAAAGTTGCTTCCTCCGCTGTGTCGGTGTACTGGACATCCGCAGTGAATAAGACGTGGCAAACCTCCGCCTGCAATCGAGAAACACGGTGGATGGTGCTTGCATCAGTTGTTGGAGTCAGGAACTATATCGATTCATTGACAATGCACATAAGCGAACACTTCGAATGGAAATTACGCTAAACAACTGTGCATTTTATGAATGGACTCACCATATGATTCAATATGTGGGGCCCATCTGCAACCCACTATAGCCCGAGACTTTTTTAGGTGAGTTGATACTAACCTCCAATGAAGAGAAAGGTTTTCCATTATAGTGACGGTAAAACTCATCAGCTGAGCTTTGTTTATCAAACTTCATCAAGACACTGTACCTATCCGTAACGCCATCATTTCTGGTTGAAAGAAAACATCAGGAGTGTGAGAGAAGGCATAGCTGAACTCAAGTGTACAAAAAAAGTATCAACTGCGATTCAAGCTCCCTTAGAACTATCCAGTTCCTCGGCAGCGGATCAGTCTCCGTGGGTCATTTCGAAGGCGAGCAAGTTAAGAAACTCGGAGTGTGAGACCTCAGCGATCAAGATATACCTGATTATCCGCATGTCTTCGATATTTTGTATAAACGAGCCCGTGAACTGACAAAAATCCGCTCCAGTCATATGAGTCGGAACTGCCAAAACGCACAAATGTTCACTACGACCGACCTGTTGAAATCGAACCATCAATTCAATAAGCATCCAGTGGAGTGAGATTCGTAACATTTCAACGTGCAAACACCAATTCATTCAATGGAGACTGCCTAACCAATTCGAAGAACGAAAATTATTCGCATGTCAAAGAGCTTCTTAAACACTCCATAACTTGTTGGTGGATGATAAACACATTCAGAGCTACTAGACAAAGTAAGAGGTAGAGCAAAAAACTGCGGTCGACCATCCAATCTTCCGATCTTCCACCAAACGATTAGACTCTCCCCATTGCAGCGACAAACTTCCAATTTCAAAATCGAGGCACGCGAGATCGACAGAACAAAATTCAAACCATTTAAAATTTCCTCACCGGCAATTGATATGCGCTTCCAGGGTCTGCAGTGGTGTTACGATACACGTGCATAACTCCTCGAGTGGATTCCACCCTAGGGTTCCCCGAAGAAAAGCAGACGGTTCTCGTATGTCCCGGTTCTCCTCCTCCAGCAGGGCCTGCACCCTTCTCCCTGACCGGAGCTCCCTTGGCTCCCCCATCCGTGCTCGCCTCTGCGACAGTCGTCGTGGCCATCCGAAGGATCAAATCCTCCTCTGTGAATTGCTCCGGAGCATGGACTTTGACACAAAACATCTCTGCCTCTTCGGCCTCGGTGACAAATCGGCCCCCAATGCACAAAACTCGACGACCCCCTACACCTCACTCTCACTCTCACTCTCTCTATCTGTTGTCCAATTTTCCCGACCCAAATTCTCTCAGTCTCTGTCACACCAGTATGCTCGATCCGATTCTGCCTGCAGGCGCAAGGCTTCTGGTAAGGAGGAAACGCAAGGCAATTTCGTACGATCCGCCCCATGCTTTCCGCCATATAACTGGATTATGACACCCTTTTCACTATTTTCTACGATTAGCGTGCAGATCAAGGCTCTCCTCGTGCTGCCCCTCCCTCCGTTCCTTCCTGTCACTACGGTACGTAGTCAGTCGAGGAAGTGTCCACCCCCTGGGCCCCCTCCTCCTTCGGTAAATGGTAAATGGTAAATGGAATCTTCACCCTTCCCTTCTTTGGTTTTTCTGTTCGTTCGTTGGGTTCCACGACCTTCCGTTCTCCTTTCTTGTGAGGATCTTGGACCGTCATCCCATTCCGACGTCCAAGCTTCGTTCTTCGCTTTGGAGTAATTTCTCATTTCTTTCGCGTGCGAGTCACGTTCTTTAGTGTTCATTCGAGCAGCGAGCGATGGAGTCGTACGGATATCCGTTGGATTTTCTTGCTGGCTTTCGTCCTTCAAATGGTGATAGGATAAGAATACTTTTCCAATTACATGCATCGTCACTTTCAAGGTTTTGGCTCTTGAATTAAACAATTTGCGGGAGAAATAACAGTTTTAACTAGTTCTTGAGGTACAGCATACTTTACTCGAATTTGTACCAGAATTATTTCTCATTTTTGCAAATTCATATCTCTTGTTGCACTTGTGACTCTTACCTGTTGTAAATTTATCCAACAAATGTGATTTATATCCTTCACTCGATTCCATTTCACATTCGAGAGTTGAATTCCTTCCAAATGTTTTTGGTCATATAATTTCACTGAATTTATCATTACCTTTGTGATAAAGATGAAAATGTTTCACATCGAAAAGTTTTATATTTTACAATATCTCATTTAGAACTAATTTCAGTTGTAACAATTGAATACATCTCATACCAGTTTTTTAAATGTTGAAAAAAACCTATAAAATTTGCAGATATTACAAGATTGAATAATGTCTGTAAACTAATTATTCAGCATGTTTTTCTAGTCAAATATATTTTTTAAAGGCTATATATATATATAACATTTCTTTCTCAAATTTATGATTATCATATATGTATGAAATAGATGCAAATGAAGCTAATATTCAAGTCTTCCAAAAAATCGTTTCATTTAGACATTTAGAATTCATCACATTTAGACTTTTCATTAAAGATTCACCTATGATATTGTGGATTGAAGATTAAATATTGAAATGTGTTTTTTTGGTTTGATAATGTACAAATGAAACATGCATTGTTCATTTACATTTTTGAAAATTAAAACTTCATTTGCTAATATAAATTAAGATCAAACATATCATTGTATGTGATAATCATTCAAAATCCATTCATTTACACATCTATCATGAAATATGTGTGCATTGAATTTCTATCAAATTTTATAAAAAGCCTAGTTTTTCACAAATCTACAACAAACATATAGAAAATAACATATCTGCGCAATGCTCAGAACTGTTGGCCGTGTTCGCTCTTTCTTCTCAATCTCTGACTCTTTCACATCTTTTGGACTCTTTTGAAGCAGAGATCTCTGAATCTCAATCCCTGAATCTCAATCATCTCATTCATCTCGTCCACTTTAGACATGAAGTCATTCTGACCTGACTGTATTTCTTGTGCTATAGAGATTATCTTTTCAACCTTTAGTTTAATTTCAACATTTATCTGCGCAATGCTCCTTACTGTTGGCCGTGTTCGCTCTTTCTTCTCAATCTCTGAATCTTTCACATCTTTTGGACTCTTTTGAAGCAGAGATCTTCGCTCTTTCTTCTCAATCTCTGAATCTTTCACATCTTTTGGCCTCTTTTGGAGCAGAGATCTTTGCCCTTTCTTCTCAATCTCTGAAATAGCCTGTGAAATCAGTACCTCGGGTGTTGTTTGAGGTTGGATGTTGTTTGAGGCTGGATGGTTCCTTATATCAATTGAAACGCTGTGGGGCATTATGGTGCCTTCTCCTAACTCTGCAGGGTTAGCACTCGACTCCCGCATTTTTGGAGCCTCAATGTCGTCCATTAAATCCTGAACCTTGAATTCAACAAACGGTGCGATTAGCTAAGATACATGAACACGGACGCAGAAAACAATGAAATGACAAAGCACCGAGACAAGTTCGAGAAATTCGATTCGCACTGCTTCAGAGGAAGCAGTCTAGGTCTGAACTTTACCCAAAAGTCCTGCTCTTACCTGCTTCTCTAGATTAGTAATTTGCTCATCGCGTTTTTTGATCTTAGATGTTCCCCTGTAAAAAGAAAACAGAAGCTCGTCTCAAGTCCCCGAAGTAGATATTGTGCATCAACACTAGGCTTTTGAATCGACTGTTGAATCTAACCAGCTAGAAACATTGATTTCAACTTCTCAGTTGTCCCAGAGAAGTAGAACTTAGTCTGAAAAATGATCGAACTTTCTCGAGCCACGCGACAACTGATCATCTAGTTTTAATTTTACCTATGAAATACACTCCCAGAACTGAACTACCAAAATCAACTCACCTTTCTTTCCGTTCCTTGGACTTCTGCTGCCGCCTTTTTTGATTATCGAGATGAATCTGATTCACCTATTCAGACACAATTAAATAACTCTCAGAAGTAGATACAGTGGAATTCGTAACAAGCAATGTTATAAATACACGAAGGACTTAGACGAATCTGATCAACTTCAGAACAGCTACAATCGACATATGCCTCTCGAATCAGACAAATGACAAACTGAGACTATCTATTCAGCCATAATTGAACGGCGATCAGGAGTAGAGAGGATGGAGTTCGAAAGATGCAGTTTCAAAAATATACCAAAGAAAAAGACGACTGTTATGAACTCGAGAACAGCTACAACCAACATACGCCTCTCGAATTTAACAATTGATAAACTGACACAATTTCTTCACCCACAAATGAACGTCGCTCAGAAGTAGATACGTTGGAGTTCGAAGCATCCAGTTTCATATACACCAAAAACAAAAACATAGCTGATCAACCAAAAATCAGCTGAAACCCACATATGACTCCAAAATTTTACAGACGATAGATAGAGACAATCTGAAGCACCTGCTGCAAAGACTTGTTTTCTTCCTGAACCTTCTTCATATCTTGCTGCATTCGTTGAAGTTCTGGGCTCGTGGCCTTCTCCACGGCCAACGAAATGGAAGAATCTGTTCTTGTTTCTGCGTCTTCTAACAATCCTTCGTAATACTGCGACCATTTGTTATATAGTCCCACATTTCACGGGAACTCAATATTCAGAATTTCAACGTAGAAAAAGATGCTGATCAATGGCAAAAGTGAACAAACGTAGGGAAACAGATGTATATCTGTATGAATATATATGATAACCAATGACCTTCAAGCTGTATCACCAAGCAGCAAAATAAAGACGTACCTGTTTTTGCCTCTCCAGTTGTGTAGTCAAACGATGATGGTTCTCGGTTGCTATCTGCATCAATAAAAAGCATCACAAATGTCAGCCATTTGCGCTAACTGCGGTCGACCTTCCGATCATCCACCAAACCATTAGACTCTCCCCATTGCAGCGACAAACTTCCAATTTCAAAAATCGAGGCACGCGAGATCGACAGAACAAAATTCGAACCATTGAAATGTTCCTCACCGGCAATTGATCTGCGCTTCCAGAATCTGGAGTGGTGTTACAGTGCATAACTCCTCGAGTGGATTCCATCCTAGGGTTCCCCGAAGAAAAGCAGACGGTTCTCGTATGTCCCGGTTCTCCTCCTCCAGCAGGGCCTGCACCCTTCTCCCAGACCGGAGCTCCCTTGGCTCCTCCATCCGTGCTCGCCTCTTCGACAGTCGTCGTGGCCATCCGAAGGATCAAATCCTCCTCTGTGAATTGCTCCGGAGGACGGGACTTTGGCACAAAACAGCTCTGCACTTCGGCCTCGTTGACAAATCGGCCCAATGCACGAACCTCGACGACCCTCACTCTCACTCTCTCTATCGATTGTCTAATTTCCCCGACCCAAATTCTCTCAGTCTCTGTCCACACCAGTATGCTCGATTGGATTCTGCCTTCAGGCGCAAGACGACTGGAACGGAGGAAACGCAAGTCAATTTAGTGCGATCCGCCCCATGCTTTCCGCCATATTACTGAATTGTGACACCCTTTTCAATATTTTGTAGAATTAGCGTGCAGATCAAGGCTCTGCTCGTGCTGCCCCTCCCTTCCCTCCTGTCACTACGGTACTCATGGCTCTGTACGTAGTCAGTCAGTCGAGGACGTGTCCACCGCCTGGGCCCCTCCTCCTTCGGAACCTTCGCCCTTCCCTTCTTTTGTTTTTCTCTTCATCCGTTTCCACGACCTTCCGTTCTCCTTTGTTGTGAGTATCTTTGACCGCCTTGAGCTGCACGTCATAGTAAAATAAAAGTCATCCCGTTCCGATTTCCATGATTCGCTCTTCGCTTTGGCGTAATTTCTCCATTTCTTACAGTTCGTTCAAAGCCAGCGAGCGAGTCCTACGCAAGTTGCTCCGGAGTTTGTTGCTGGTTTTCAACTTTTAGATTGTAATAGGATTCGAGTACGTTCAAGATTTTGGCTCTTGAAATAAACCATTTGCCGGAGAAATAACGGTTTTTACTAGTTCTTGAGGGAAATCATACTTTACTCGAATTTGTACTAGACGTATTTCGCATTTTCGCAAATTCATATCTCTTGTTGCACTTGTGCTTCCTACCCGTTGTAAATTTGTCCAACGGACGTGATTTATTTCCTTACTCGATTCCATTTTATATTCGGGAAGTTGAATTCTTTTCACATGTATTTTGTCATATATAAATTCACTGAATCTATCATTACCTTGATGGTAAAATTAAAAATATTTCACATCCAAAAGATTTGTATGTTAAAAATATCTCATTTAGAACTAATTCCATTTGTAACAATTGATTACGTTTCATCCCAGTTTTTTGAATGTTGAAATTAAAAACTATGAACTTTGCAGATATTACAAGATTGAATTATGTATTGTAGATTGTAGATTAATTATTCTACATGTTTTTTTAAGCTCAAATAGATTTTTGAAAGGCAATGTATGTATGTATATATATATATATATATATATATATAACATTTTTTTTCAAATTTATGATCATCGATTTATCATAAATATGAAATAGATGTAAATGAAGCTACTTTAATAAAATATACCAAGAATAAGTTTCATTTAGACATTTAAAACTCAAATTCCTCTTTGAAGATTAAATATTGAAATGTGTTTTTTGTTTGGTGTGGTAATATACAAATGAAACATGCATGATTCATTTACATTGTTGCAAATCAAAACTTCATTCACTAATATAAATAAAGATCAAACATAATATTGTATGTGGTATTCATTCAGGATCCATTTATTTACACATCTATCATGTAATATGTGTGCATTGAGTTTCTAAGAAACTGCATGAAAAGTCTAGTTTTTCACAAATGTACAACAAACATATAGAATATTAAAAAATCTTAAAATTAACAAATCTCATGTTAAATAAAATCGTTGACAATGATTATGAAATTGTGTGCAAAATTTGCATGTTAATTTTTTTTTCAATTATATGAACATTAAAATTTATAATTTCTTTAATTTATGTTTGACTTTTCATCAACTTTATATCTTCATAATGCATTGAGTAAAAAATCCACTAAATTTTATAATAAAAATTTATAAATGACACATATTTTATTTGTAACAGATATTCTCTTACAGGTTTTATCCAAAAAATCTCAATGAAGCCTTCTTTAAAAATAACTTTTGTTTTGAGTATGACCTATAAAAAAACTGAAATTATTTATAAAAACAGTTTTTTAGACGTAAATAAATTGATTTTAGAAATTATTAAATAACTATTATACTATGAATTATATCTAAAATGATAAAAATATCAAAGAATATGATTAAAAATATATAATAAAATGAAAATTTTAAAAATTTTATCTTTCCAAACTAAATTAAAATCATTACAGATATTTTCTTGAAATTTTAAATTATTAAAATTAACTCTCAATAAAAATTAAATAGTAATCCTTTTATTTTACTTGAAGAATATTATAAAATCAAAATTTTTAATTTTAGACAAGAAGAGTATTTTCTGTTCTTAATTCATGGAAAAAATAAAAAATAAAAAATAATTATTCATGAGCAATAAATCATTTGTATATATTTTGCTTTAAAATTTCTTTTCATTTACCAAACATGTATGCTTTTACATCAACTTTGCATTTTCATTGTGTATTGAATAGAAACCTTACTAAATTTTATGTTTTAAGTACAGAATTGGACATATTTTATTTTCAAATATATTATTTTACATGTTTAAAATATCTAAAAAATTTCAATTTTAAAAAATATTGTTATTTGTTTTATAATCATGATCTACAAAAAATTAGAAATAATTTATTAAATAAATATTTTTAAAACCTAAATACGTTGATTGTACAATTAATTGAAAAAAATTTACAAATATAAATCACATCTGAAATAATAAACTTAATCTTTATGATAATTTATTTATCAAATTTCTCTAAAGAAATCTTAAATTGAAGAAAAAATACTTTATCCTTAAAAATTAATAGGAAATTCTTAAAAATATTTCACTTAAAATAAATGTTTAACAAATTAATTTTGAGTGAATAATAAATTTTATTTATTTAATTTTTCCAAAATTTTTGAAAATTCAAATTTTCGTAATGAATAAGAAAATCACTTTCTGTTCTTATGTGATTTATTGTAATTTATATTTATACTTATAAAAAAAATTAGATCATTTGGACATAATTTGGATTGAAATTTCATTCGATTATACATACATGTATGATAATTAACATATGAGAATCAAACTTCAAATTTGATATCATGTATTGAACATTCAGACATGTATCTTTTCAGGTTACGTTACATTGTGCTAAAGAAAATATTTTTTTTTTTCGTCCAGGATTGCTTTACGATAACAAAAGGTAAAGTTTTAGTAACATATGAAACGATCATATAAAACCACGGACCAAGTCAATGTACGAACCTATCAACATAGTAGTTAACTCTTTTTATCAATAAACTAAAATTTCTTTTAAACGTTAACCTTGACTTGAACGTCCCTAATTGGAAAACAATTTTGGCGCACGAGTTTACATATGATCGCACGTAAGAGTCATCCAGCTATGGACTTACTTTGTAGATTCTAAGTTATGAACAATTACGCATTAACTCTAATAATCATAAGACTTCAAATTTTTCTATTTCTATACGTACTACTTAGAGAAACATATGTTAATTGAATAAACAATGTACAGATTAATTGAATAATAATATTCAGTTAAAAAACTAAAACAATAACAAAAAGATCGAATCCGATTTGACGTTTATTATAGCCCCAGTAGTTTGATTGAACTAATCAAAACACACAAATTTCTGTCCAAAATCAATGAATCTTTTAACGTGAGCATAGTTTGAACTTGACAGCAATTAGACATTTAGAATACTGGATATCAGAAAACAAATGAGCATGCTCCGGTCTGAATTTATTACAGTAAAATTAATCTTAAGATACAAATATGATAGTTTTGAAAACATAGAAAAATAGACACGTTAGAAAGATACCTCGGATCTATAAATGCTATCCTAGCAACCGATAGGTCGCCCATGGATGTAGGAAAATTAGATAGACATTTGCATATCTTCAAACACGATACCAGTGAAGGTTTCACACGAATTTGTACTTCACGCACCATCTGCATAATAATTTAAACTAAGTTCGGGAAGACATGAAATCCTGACAATTACCAAACGGCATTAGTATCTTGACCCTAGCAACCTTAGAACGAGATGAAAGATGAACGAGACTGTCGGTGTCCAAAACACTCAAGCAACTGAAAGCAAAAATTTCTTCAGACTACACATTTTGAGCTCGTACATCACAAATTTCGATTACTTCTGGCTGATGATCTCGACTGGGCATCTATTTCAGTGCTAACGGCCCGTACGTGATGGCCTATCTCTGATACCATATCTTACAGGGAGATCCCCTCTCATTTGGAGGATCGGAACGCTGCCAGCTTTACAAAACCTCCTAGCAACACCGACTATTGACAGATTAACTTCCGGTAGACTGACTACTGTATTCCTTTACACTGGAATGAAGTAGATCACAGATTTATTCAATGTCAACTGTCACTGCCAGACGAAGAATCTCTATCTTCACCGTATGGTAGCTCACGACGAGGAGCATTTTACTTCTCCCGTAACTGCTTAGATGGAATGAAGTCTCCTATACTGTCCATTTCCATAGAAGAGAAAGTAGGTGTACGGATGATCAAACCGTCCCTGAAAGCAACACCCAAAAAAATACAGTCAGAACACTACTCTTGTAGATTAGGGGCAATTTCTAAACTCATATCAATTTTAGTAACCCGCCACACCAGATGTAAGAATAATTCAATTGTTATAATTCACAAAGAAGAGCCGTGCTTCCTTAAACTCTGTTACGTCATATAGTAAAATGCTTTTGCATCCTCCAGGTCTGTGGGCAAGATCTAAAGCGTTTTCCTTATGCTATTTGGCATCTATGAACATACTGAGGGTTTATGGCTGTTTTCACTTTTGCCGGTGCATTGTTCAGTGCACAATGCGCCGCACATGTTTAACATGAGTAAGGTGTGATTCCTTCTAAAATTGTTTCCCACGAAGGTTCTAAAGTGGGTCAAATCTATACTACTTGTTTGCACAGGGTCTTTACGGCATTATCTATGATATACTATTCTCAGTATGCAATGTACACTTGGTGACTGCTTTGCTTAAAGCAATGTTTCTTGTTTTCTGAACATGGTGGAATCCGATCCTTTTTGTATTACATCCGACCATTTTCAAAGTTTTATTTTAAGAATCTAGTCAAATTCTCACGTGTTAACTTGAGTTAATTATGAAGAATTTTCAAGCATGTAAGTAAGTCTTTATAGCCCAAACATGTCATATCTCGCTCGACATGCAAGCTACGTTGATCAGAAACACATTCGTGTCTCAAACTGTATGTATGCTTGCCGTAAAAAACTTCTGGGTGTGGATTTTTTACCTAATGGGTGCTGGTACCAATATCATTTAAGGCTTTACCGATTAACTAGATTGTTGAGTCCGTACCAATGAACACAGAGAAAGAGGAATAGATCAAATCCATGCACGTTTGTGCACTTTCTAAAGAGCATTGTTTCATTCTGTGATTCTTTGCATATCATCTAATGTCTAAATTAAATTTAGATTATACC